GACGTGACTCAATGGAATACATCAAAGTGCAGCAAGGCAATTAGAATGAACAACCTTGTACGTTTTCGCAAGCTTTCTTTTTCGTTTTGGGATGACAGCTTTGAAGTTTTCCCTCTTCTTGCACAAGTAGTAGTACAACACACAATCTTTTACAGTCTGAATGTCAAAGAAAAAGTCAAACACTAGATCACATATCAAGAGAATATAAGAATGAAAAACTTGATATTCAAAATTTTACTTTGTTCTCCAGAAACATGGCGATGTTGGCGTAGTTCTTACCCACAGCAGACAACCTCTCCCGGAACAGTTTCTTCTCATCGTCTGACCACGAAGACAGAAATGTTTCAATCCTGTAACAACAAATCACATGTAAATAGTTCGCATCGAAAAAGCAGTTGATATCCCACAAACCAATTTTTATTTTCCTCGGCTGCATTCTTGATGACCGCATGCTTGTTGTCAAAAAATCTTGGTCTAATCGCGGATTCGTGCACAATCAGAGGTGGAATAGCCGCCGCGTTTCTCATTTTATACTCCTCATCGACCTGGCCCTAAAACGTATCAGAATATAGGATGTAGCAGAAAAGGTGACTGAGGGATGAGCCTCAAAAATAACCTTTTCACTTGGTGCTGGTTGTTCATCCACAGTGTCTTGACCTCGTAGGCTAATTCGGTCGGTCCGGCAGGAGCGTTCTTTTTCTTCACGAGATCTCTTCATTTCAGGAAACGCCCTCTCGAATATTTCTCGATTTTTCAAATCTCGAGCACTATAACAGCCTTTTCGAGATCATATCACGAAGACGGTAATTGCAGAACATTTTAAAACTAAACTTACACTTTCTTGGGGCTGTTTTCCCACCGCTCCAACTTTCGTAGGTAGTCCCTCATGCATGAATTGTAAGTCTCATCGTTATATCTAAAACCATTCTTTTATAAAATTCTAGAAGGTTCATGCAGCTCATACCGATCACCTATGTGATCTTTATAACACAAATGAGAAAAATGAGAAAGAGAAGAATAAGAGGATGATAGTAACAAGGAAAGAGTGGAGAGCGCACAAATAAGCAAGGGGTGAAAGGCGGGGGGAGGGGTGGAGTGAACAAAAGCGAGACAAGTGGAGGAAAGAGAAGGAAAAAGATAGGAAAGGTTGCAAAGAATGTAGTAAAGTAGGAAGTAGGGGAAAGGCTTTAAAAAAACGAACGGTTGTGCAGAGGAAAAGTTTAAGAAAAAATGTAGACCACCGCCCACTACAAAAGATCAGAAAATCGATGTCAAGGTTGGAAAGAGGTAGAGCGACACTCATGAGTCTTGTTTGTGGAAGAAATTTAATATTCACCGATAACACTCAAGTTTCACTCGCTGTCGGAAAATGATCGTCTGCCTTAGCTTCGGCTCAAAAGCCTAAATCAAAAAATGCTGTGATTAATTCGAAAAAAAAAAACGGAAAAAAATACCTTTTGCCTCCTTAGCAGATCAGCCATGCCAGGTGCATTGCACGGCTCATAGAAACACTAAAAATAACAAAATGAACAAAACTGAAAGTAAGGAGTACTCTAGAAACACCCACCACCTCATGTGCTGGCCTTTTAGTCACTACTCGTGCTTTAATTGGAGATTTCCGCTTATTTTCAGCGATAATCCGCTGCCAGAGTGGAACATTTTCTCTGTCATCGACCTGGGAAACATTGCTTCAAAATCGGCCAAAAAAGAATTATTAAGCATGGAATAAGACGAGAAAACTAAATTAGCAAATGTAACATTCAAATACTGTGGCAACGGTATTAAGCAAATATGAATAACATTGAAATACTGTGACAATTGTATTACGCTAATATACCTCGCCATTGATCACATCTTTCACTTCCTGTTCCGACTCCTTCTTCACATTCTGAAAACAAGTAATGAAACAACACAATGGCCCCTATGAAAGAGTCTAACGCAACCTTAAGACGTTCTCTCCGCTTCGTGAGAGCCTCAACTTGTTGATCTGCTTGTTTTCGATCTTTCTCAATAGATTCCAAGCGATCCGAAGTGGCCTTCTTTTCTGCCTGCTGAAATCGGATATTTTTATGCCAAATGACAGCCATCGAATATTTACTAGACCAACAGGCACTTGTCCAAACAAATGCATATTGAATAAAGCAAGCGTAATATTCAGCAGAAGTGGGAAAAATTATGACACCAGTTTGAGACCTGTTATCCGGCAGAGGAGTTCGTGCTCAAAATGAAACCAAGAGAAATGTCTACAGAATTGCGAGCCATCATATATTAGTTGAGGAGTATACTCCGCAATATATCACAGCTTAGCACAGGCATTGCATACATCGCCTAGACCGCCGTTATGTGAAAATTACCTCCATATCTGGATATGCAGGCAACATTAGTTTGCCTAACGTCGCTTCAGCATGCAAGCCACAAGCCTTCGGATCCCGCGAAAACTCCATCTACCCGTGTGGTTGGTAACCCCAGCCGTCAACTGAACGATTTTGCAAGAAGTGCGTTCGAGCTTCACAAAAAGGGAGCCTCAATTCGTTTTAGAATTATCGAATTGACTTATTCACACATTTCTCTACATAATTCACAATTAATCATGCACGAGATTGTTTGCGTATATTTTCAAACATTTCAATTGCACTATTCGCAAATTCGCCTATTCTTGGCACCCGCACTCGTTTTGAGGCCAAAACCAAAACAGCCACTGCCCCTTCGTTGAGGCACTAAGGCCACTTGTTGCCGTCGCTTTCCAAATTCGAACAAATTTAACACTGATTTTCACTGAACAATTTAAGTTTTAAGCCTAATAAACGCTGACGAATAGACCACTTTCTTCACCACACTTTACGCAGTAACAGACGTTGCTGAAACCCCTTTATGAAAGCCAGAAAGAAGTAAGACAAAGACGGCGAATGAAAAAGAGTGAAAGAAAATCAAAGGGTTTGGGTTGAGTCATTCGCATGGTAGAAAGACGAGACCATTTAATGTCGGCTTGGAATGAAACCTGCCTGACAAGTAGCATTGAGAGAATTAATGTGGAGTCATTCGATGTTTACGACTCGCACAGCCAAGTGTCGTGTGTCAAAATTACCGAGCAGTAAAAATCCCATGAAAACTAAAAATTTTATGCAGCTCCAATTCCAACTGTGGAAACTGACGCTCATCGCCATATTATTGAATAATATTGGCCCGCTTTCTCAAGTTTTTTTTTCCTATACGGAGCAGAGTTCAACAAAGTTGATACAATTCAGTCAGTAAATATGGTGAACTTGCATCAGGCACAAATGCCGTAAAAAAGTGAGTTTTGAAGCAATGGAGGAAGCTTTCACTCAGATTTCAATCTCAGCTAAATTATATAATTTGCAATTACTATTACCGCCCTTCTTCATCACCTAAAGAGGAGGAAAACATTAGAAAATTTTTGAAAGTAATAGATCGCTGCGATCTCAGGTGCCAATTTCCACTGTGTGATGACGATTTGCGTTTATCACTTCTAAGGAGTTTCACCTTTGCAAGCAGTAAAATTTAGATTTAATTTCACGACATTTCACTCCTGAATTAATGTC